TAAAAAGGTGGGTATTTTAATTAGTATATATCTCCTGTAAAGTTTCTCCTCGGCAATTCCATGAAAGAAGCAGACTTCATGTTGTGAAAATGAGCACAGAACTGCTGCTGTAGTGGGCTCGTGAACAGTTGTTATATTTGCTTCCACGTAAAATACCTGGAAATTACCTGAGAGAGCCCAGGTGGTTTTATGCATCTTTCTTAATCCATACACGTTGCACAATTTTATATTACATTTACACGTAAACACTGAGTTGCATGACTCACAGATTTACAGTAAATTTTATACCAGGACAATACGAATTATCATTAAATCCAAACAGTCCTGAACAATGCAATTCTGAACACATTCATTGCATATCTGAAGTGCATTTAATTACGAAATCTTGTCCTCTCTTTTGTTTTCTCATATGAATTTTAATACTTATATACGAAAATACAAATGTCTGTAGATATTTTTATGTCCTAACATATGTGGCATAAAAAGTGTTTTGTTTTTCATTTGAATCCACCTATATATCTTACATTAAGTAAGATAAAAGCCGATCTAGAGAAGTTCTAATGGCGGGGCATTGCTTCATGTTAAGATGTTAAGGTAACAGTCATCAGGGTTATCTGCAGAGATAGTGCCTCTTTTTTTTTTCTTTTCTTTATTTTACATCTTAATGCTGAGCAAATACCTGGTATTATTAACATGTAAAGACATTATAGTATCTTCTATCCAGGTGTTTCTGTTGGATCAGCCAAAAAATGTAGAACAAAGACAAAGGAGTGACTTGTGGTTGGCACACTTTGTATGAGGAACATTGGACTGATGCTAAGAGAGAAGGACCTTTCATTAAAAATGGTGTTAAGTTTCAGTATGTCGCTTTTCCATTGATTCTTTAGATTCAGGAGGTATTTCTAAGTTCTCTACATTTGTGGGTTTTGATTCATCACACTTGTAAATAACTAGAATCCAACCCTGGTTTGCAGGTGTTAAGGTTAGAAGTCAAAATCAATTATTTTCTCAGAAATTCTATCTTGTTAGTCAGTAAATCTTTAGAATAAATTCCTTAGAATAAAGTTGTGTTTAATGTCAGCTTCCTCAGAAGACTGCATTCTACCCCACAGATGCAGAGGTTTTCTTCAGTGTGCAAATGTGGTGGCTGTGCTTCCATCTGGGGACCTAGTGTAAGTTGTCTACTGTGACTCCTCCAATCTGTTATTGATTATGAGTCATACAGTATTTTTGGCCTGTGTTTCTCAAAGAAGGTAGGAATGGATCAGGAATAATGGTAATACATAGGAATTAGACTACACACTGCTTCTGATTAATAAGTTTTTAATAGGGCTGTTTTGCAGGGGAAGGATCTTACTTTGCAACATTTAAATATCTGGTTACTGTTTGGCTGTGAAGTAGCTTACATGCCATATTTGAGGCCATCTATGTGTGTTTTTTAAAATGTCATCTGTATTCATATTACATTCAAGGGACAGTACCAAGAAACAGTTTCTTTCAAGACCTTCTACCAGTATGTGGAATATAAGTCTGTGACAAGTGATATTGCAGAAGGTCATGTCACTTTTAACTGGTTGCATTAGATCCTTCTGATTTCCCCAGTGCTATTCCTTTGTTTGATTAATACTACTTGATTTCAAGCAAGGTATCAGAAGCATAATTTACAGTGAATATTCTCAGAGCAATCTAAGATTTTTACCATAGAACTTTTATTCAAATAAATCTAACATTTTATTTTATCTTCAGACGCTTTTTCTTGTCCACCCTCTCTCCTCTCCCTCCTTCCCCATCTCTTCCCTCCCTCCATTATACCTCCTCTAGGTACAATGCTTGACACAGACATCCAAATAACTGCTGCGTTCATTTAAAACAGAGGGGCACGTGTGCACTTTATTTGAATAGAATCGAAGCAGAATCAAAGCAGAAAAAATTCCATTGTGGGTTTTTTTCTACTGCATTCCTACTGTAATGTTGAAGTGAAATCTGTGTTCAGATCCACTGTGCTTCTCTTCAACAGCCTTGCTTTGTTCTGCAGAAATAGGCTGTACTTCAGTATACAGCTTTTATAAGGCTTCAGGGTGTTTCTTACTATATCATAAGACTACGAAGAATCTACTTACCTTGTTTTAATTTGTGGCAAAGTTCTGAAAACGCTTGTTTTGGTGGTTTAATGAATTGTATTACTGTGTCTGTATTGTCTGTATGTTCATGTGTGTCTGGTTTTTCTCTTTCCGCTCTTCCTTTTGAATTTCAAGACACATGAAAGCATGGATTATATATGTTTCATATACTTTAAAGAATTATTTGTTAATCTTGGGCATTGGCACACTTTCACTACAATAGCTGAATTCTGTTGTTCTTTCCAAACAATTCAGTACTCCAAATCTCAGTGTAACTGATGATGTGACTAACCTAGAACAAGACCATAAACTGGTAGTGGCTTTTGAATTAAAAAATTGAATGGACGAGCTGGAAATCTGAGATTAGTCTGATATTTCAAGTAATTTCAAAGGACTTTTTATGCCCTTTGAACAAGTTAACATTTTGCTACCCTACAGAAGCTTGTAAAGTAGTTTGAGATCATTAGGTGCGGAAGAAAAAAACCAACTGAGTCTGAAGCAGTATTATCCAGGTAATTTGGAGTAGGTATTGTCATGCAAGGGATTTCTCTGCTATCATTTGCAATAATTTTAGAGATTTCCAAGTCAACTGATTGTCCTATTGCTAACTTTAATGCCCATGTGAGATGGGCATTCAGCTATTCAACCCTGTCAAGACAAGGAATTTCTGGATGTACATAAAAGAGATCTTCAGGTGTCTGGGGAATATTAATGTTGGAAAAAGAGACTCAGTGAGTTTAGTCAGCTCCAGGTGTTAACGAGTATGTGAGCCAACAGATCTGTTTTATACCTTGGGCTTTAGTCAACTACTGATGTAGTTAAATGGGTTTTTTGCATGTGGTGAAACTGATTTAAGAGGGTTTCCATCTTGCTGCAACCCTTAACAGTTTGTTTTCGTCCTCTCTTCTCACTTCTCCATTTTCTTGGTAGAGCTGGTGGAGTGTTCCTGGAGCTGCTTAGTAAACTGGGTCACTACATTAAAAGTTTGAGATGCGGTTTTTTTAAGAACTCAGCCCAGTGATGCAATTTATGGCTCAGCTCCCCAGAGATTTAGAGCAGGCCAGGGAAGATGACAGTCAACTACCAGGAAAGGGACAAGAAGGTGATGTAGGTGCATGGGAAACAGGAAGTGCCTTTTTTTCACAGAGAGGTCAGTGAAGACAGGACTTCTCAGACACTTCCAAATTGGATGTGTAAGATAGTGTACTGAGCTAAGCGGGAGCTGACATTCATTTCACAGATGTGCTCTCAACATTTCCCTGTGACCAAAACTCTCTTGTCACTGTTTCTAATCCCCTTTTTTTGAGCAATGGAGGAGACCTGACCTAAAAGGCCAACAAAGAACAGGAGGGAGACTTCTTTATGGATAGTGGCTAGAGCACAGCCTGGATTCCTTCTTCAGCCTGAGGGGACTCAGAAGTACACCTGCCTAGCTGGCATCGGGTCAGAGGCTACAAAAGCTTTGGTCAGTCAGGCTCCTCCTGCTAAAATTGTTGTTCTGGGCAGGAAGGAATTCAAGAGTAATTTCTTCATTGCTTGCATCATGCTTCCTCCTTGTGCTTTTTGGCATGTTCACTTTCTATGGTTGCTTTGTGTTTCTAGTTTTATCTTTGATTCTAAACTCCAGGACAGAGCAGGCAGTAGACAGAATTAGACGTTCCTTTCCCTCCAAAGTGCTGTTGTCAGAGGTGTTTTGGAACAGAGTCTTAAAGGACAAATACGCTAAAATTGTTTGTAGCTTCACCTATATCACGTAGTAAACTACCATTTTAGTTGGCAGCAAGTCTGTAAAATAGGCCAAGTTATTATTGTTTCATATCAGTGAGTTTTTCCTTCTCTTTTCCACTCTATGCATATTTTATAATACGTCGTATACGATTTTTGCATTCATAATAGGACACTGGGCTAGATGAATCTTTGTTGACCTTTATTATGGCTCTTCTTGTATCCTCATATGTATTTAGATATAAATAAAGATCTGAAGAGGCACATTATTTTCTGGTTATAAGGAGGTCCAGCTTTTTTTCATTCCACCAACAGAGAATTTTCCTCTTAGGGTCATTGATCACAGTGTCATGAGAGAAGGATTTTTGACTTTTAAGTCTGAATCTACCACTGCTCATCTTTGGAAAGTCATTTAATCTCTGTAAACTAGATTTAGTGGTTCATTTCATGCTCATGGTGTGATTAATAATTATAATATTTGTAGAATGAATTGAATGTGTATGTGTATATTTCCCAGTGCTAGACTGAAGAACTTTATATGGAAAAATACACAGATGCAGATATGTGGCAGCTGCAGCTAGCAATGAATGTGCATAAAGTTAAATGCACAGATTGTATAAAATTACTATTAAGAAACACAGTGCTAATGCTGATAGAGCATATGGAATACATAATTGTTGAAGATTATAAGGAAATAAGCTACTATGAATTTATTCCCAGCTTTGTATTCTTCAAAAATCTCTTGGTGAATACTGTAAATTCTATTAAAAAGGTTGCACTTTTATGTAGGTAACAGTAAATTTGAAGTGAGCATATGTGTGTGCCGTGTAGGCACCAATGGAGCTGACAAAGGATTCCTTTAATTAAAGCAAGCATATACTGAATTTTGAACTACCTTTTAAATACTTAAATTGTCAAGCAAGCATTTTGTGCAGGAAGGATTTTCAGTATATAATTCCCTAATGTAGGTCAATTAAAGCTATAATGCTTTCCTAAATTTGAATCTCTAGATCAAGTGTTTTTTCCTGGTTGTACATTTTCCCTCTGCATTTATTTCAAGTGTTAATAAAGTTTTCATCTACAAAAGGCTTAGAATTGACAGAACAAAACTCTTCCTTTTTAAATCATGACAACTACTACTGTTTCTGTCTGCAGGTAGTGGAGGACATGCTAGAGGACGAGGAAGAAGAGGATGACAGAGATGACAAGGTAATTATGTTTCCTAGCACTTGGGTATCTGGGGATGGGAGAATTTAGACATGACACTGTTTTTACCGACAGTTAAAAAAGGAGTTGAAGTGTTTTAGTCCAGAAAATTGGACAGATCTGTTTATCATCCTAATAATGCTACAGTGTGTTGCAGGAAAGGATAGAGATCTATAAATCCTACCTTTTTTTTTTTTTTTTTTTTTTCCCCAGTCCAGAGCTGGGTCAAATATTTTTCTGCCAGGAACAAAAATAATTCAGCATGTCTGGAACTTGATAGCTCTTGTGAAGATAACTGCAGCAACAACTGTTTTTGAAGGACAAAAATTCTTTCTTTCTTGAATATTACAAATAGGACTGCACTTCAGGCGAAAAATGATGTGGAAATAGCAACTCCATACAGGTTAAAGTTGGGATATTGACATCTAAAATTTTCAAAGAATTACTTGGTGGGAGAACGGCTTAAATGTTTTGCACTCCATATGACATTTAAGTAATCACAATTCGCCTAGACATCCACTTGATTTGAAGTTTGCATTGTGGCCCTGCAAGGTGGGAAACTGTGGGGGATCATTCAGCTATTTGAGTGGATGCGGTTCAGTTTAGAGGCTGCTGATTGGGTTGAGGATTACAACCACAGTGAATAACGGCTCATTTCCACATTTAGCCCAGCTATCAGACTGCTTGGATTGGTTGTCCCCCAGGGAGAGGGAAAAAACAGAGAAAAGAAATTAGAATGACCTTCCACCACTGAAGCAATGGCTAGCACTGGCAGGACGGCTTTCTGGTGAGACAAGTGCAGTGAAGACAGCCCCTTTGTTGCTGGTATTTTCCTATCAGAAAGGTGGTATTTGTGGAAGAAAGGAAAAATATAGTTTTACAACAACTTTGTATTAAAATTCAGATTATTTTGACCTTCACGGATGTTCCCCCCACTTCTCTTGTAGTAAAGCAATTTTTTTTTTTCTGAAAGGAGAAAAACAGTGTATTTATGCTCTTGACCTTTTTTCTGGCTGAGATATACATTTATATGAAGACTATAGCAATTCATATGCTGGCAGCAGCATTTGAAATGTCAGAAAATTCACCATGATTAGTTAATACCCTGAATGATTATTTTTCTGTTAGCTAACACCTAAAATGTGAGAAATGATTTTAAAAAAGATTATTTTCCTTGTTCCATTGCCAGGTCAAACATTTTAAAATTGACAGAAAGCTATTATGTGAAATTCTTCTATACGCCACTTAAATTGTTAGCTACATAATTTCAGAATGAGCAAACATTGTAATAACAAAGACCTTCTTTTACAAAACACATATGTGATGGTTTTTAACACTAAATGATATGAACATCCACTTCTGGCAATAAAATACATGATTTATTGCAAGGGTCCATCATGTAGCTGTGAAGAGCTTGTATTTTATCTCAACATGCTGGCTTTGAATCATCATTTGTTTTCAGATAAACACTGGTCTGCCATCCATTTGAGGCCATTTTCTCCTGTTTCTTTCTGCTTTATTATTAGAGCTGATGCAAATGTGTGATACTAGTAGTGTGTGAATTCCTGGATATTTTAATCACTGTGGTTAGTTCAGAAAGAATACTGCTTGACTGCTTGTAGTTTAAGCCAGCCTATGTAGTTACTGCTTAGTGGGTTTTGGAAATTGCTAGACAAACTCCTTTAAAGGGGAAGATGAGGGCGGGGGTCAACCCTCCCTCCCCCCAATTCTCTGGTGATTAGCAAACGCCAGGCAAAACATACCTAATTAGAAATATCACTCTAGGTTTCAGTGTTGTGATCAAATATTCAGCTTTCTCAAATTGACACTAGAGTTCAAACATTCTTCTAGATCTAGTTACCAAGGTTGAATAAAAGTGAGTACTGACATTACTGTGTGTGTTCAGTGAGCCCTTTTATTGAATATTTAAGAGCTGTCTTTCTATACAGAAGGTGTTAAGGTTGATTTTTATAAATTCAAAGCTGTCTTCGTTATTGCAAATGTTTTGAGCTCTCAAGATTGAATATGCTGTTTGAATGGGAAAAAACCTTACACTTCTTAAAACAAGCATATGTGGACTACCACCTATATTCAGTATGTTTACAGCGTGCGTTATTTTACACTAGGGTTGTAAATTATAAGCACATGCTTATAATTGTTTGTCATTCAAAGCTAGTAGACTGTTTTTCCTTTCTGGTGTGCTAGACATACTCTCATATTGCTTTTCCTGTTACATATTTTTGGCTAAATGGAAGGGTGCGCTTCTGTGTTATTTTAGTTCATGTATGGGTTTTCTTAAAGCTATGTGCAAAATGAAGTTTCGTGGGAAAACAAATGCAGATTTTGTAACACCAGCTGATAATGGCCTCTGGCTTTTATTATTTCTCTTGATTTTTCATATGGCATAATAGAAGACTCAGGAAAATGGATCTTCTTATGCTAAGAAAGTTACAAGAATAATAAATGTAAAACCTCTTTTTAATTGAAACTGAAGCATGTGTTGCAAATATGTAAAATACATCCCAGCTGTTTGACCATGGCCAGTGTCTTCGCTGATTACCACAAGGCAGCTATTAGTCCTGTCACCTTTGGACTTAACAGTAAATGGGATATTACACAGAACAGGAGCACCTGTTTTCCATTTAATGAAGAATCCTTGCAGGCTTTACCTAAACCTGTCCATATGTTTCACTTAGAGATTGTTGTGGGATTATGAAGTGTGTTTCTTTAGAGCTGACTTGGATAGTAGTGACTTGCTCAGAGTGAAAGGGTAGCTCTAGCTGCTTGATGAGGTCAGCATGGGCATGCGCTGATGTTGGTTATGTGTGATGGAGGGGCATTGCTCAACATTCCTAAACTGCAGAGTTACAGAAGTAATAAACTAAGGATGATTGCTCTTATGTATGTAATTAGTTAATGTAATGCATTTTATTAATAATGGTATGGAATACTGAAAGGAGTTTGACAAGGTAGATTTGCACTTACCATGTTGCTTAGTCTTATTCTAATGTTCTGGATTTTAGTAATTTCTTCCACCATCTGCTACAGTTAAGGTAGGGTAGATAGGACTGTCAGTTTAAGGTCAGAGGATGTGGGTTTTTTACTGGAGAATCGTAACTTTCATCTTTACTTGCAATATCAATAGTAAACTAAAATGGCAGGTATGCTTCTTGTATCAGTTACAAAGTGGTGCTTAGCAGTGGAACACTTGTTTCCTAATACTGCTTCTTTGTCATGTGACCACTGATAGAATATTTAGGAATTGAAAGAGATGTAGTTTGTTTGGCTCAGGCATTTGTCTTTCATTTAATACTAGTTTTTCCAAGAAATAGTATTGCATTCTGCATTCTGTGTGTTCTGTAATGGTTGCTAAACCTATGCCAACCCCAGATATACAGTTTAATCTGATTTCTCTCTCTTTCTTCTTCTTTTGTTTTCTTTTGACTCCTTTCCAAACACTGGCTTATAGGGTATCTTAGCAAATAAGGGTCAGTTAAATTACGTTAAGTCAATAAGCTATCAGAAGGATTTTTACACAGTTATGTTATGATAATGTAGTGGTCAATATACGTAATCTAGGTATCTAAGATTTTAGTTTGTCATTTCAGAAGTTCATATATGCTTTTCACATAGCTTTATTCTTTGAACAAGCTCCAGGTAAGATATCAGATAATCACAAAGAATTTAAGCTCAGCATTTTGTGGGAAGCCCTCAGCGTGCCACAGAATCAGGCTAGTGGTAACTGCTACTATTGCAGACTTATGTGGAGGAAGATGCATGGTATGAACACTATTTTATTTTGCCTTTTTATTAACAATATCAATATTTTATTAATAAAAAATATTCCAATCATTTGCACCTTTGGCTACTCTCTCTCTAGGCTTTCATTCTTTGAAAAATTCTTCGCAGTTCTCAGTCAATGTTATTGTACTTCAAGATAAATAGAAGCTTTTGTAATGGATGATAGTTGAGTCAAATTAAAATACGTTTTAAAGCTTTTAATCATTGCTGCTGAGAGGTACTAACTTTGTTCTCAAGCCAAGACACGTTTGTAACCTGTCTCAGAAGCACGCCCTGTATTTTTACTGAGAGTAGATCATGAAAAGGAGGAAGGATAGCACTGATGTAGCCTACATTTTTTATATTCCATAAAAGAGAAGATGGTGATCTATTAAAGTGGCAGTTATTTCCTGTAAAATATGTGGTGGAAAAATGATATTGAGAAATAGAGTGAATGGAGTCAAACTTCTCAGTGCAGTTTTGTTTCAGCTCAGTTTAGTTATTCATGTGGAGATAGTGATAAAAGGAATGTAGTTTTTATAAAAATTGTACTTAATAGGAGGGTTGATGGTGTAGACTGCTTCAACCCATACTCTGGAATACTAGCTGATGCTGTTTTTGATCACACCCAAGTCACAGCCATGGAGTTACTTTTGCTTGGATATAGCTTGGATCATGTGGACCTTTGCACAGCAACTTCCACAAAAAGCGGTTTTCTTCCTGTCCTATACTAGGACACCATAAGGGTTTTGTCATCAATGTATGATGTACCTTTGAAAACAGGTAATTTGAACAGCCTTTGAGAGGTTTAATTTTAATGAGATCAGGTTTCCTTGTCCTCGTACAGTCCTGAAATACTATCAAAATTATTGAAGTAAAGTAGGTATTAGTGAGATCAGAATCTGATATTTATATCTGAAGTTATGGTAGATGTTTAAGAATGTGACATAGTTTTGCCTTACATTTTCCTTCCACCCTTAATTTTATTTCTTAATGTAACTAAGCAGATTTAAATTCTTTGAGGCAAAGAAAAGGGCTATTTTCTCCTAGCTCCTAAAAAAGTAACTTTAAGGTGTAGTTAGAAACATCTGTATGGTCTTCTCTGTGACTTGGGAGAGAAATGACGAGTGTTAAAGGAAACAACCAAAACACTTTACTACAGGGTTTTCTTGGAAACCTTCCTACATGTGCAGATTGGTTTACTCCTTAGCTCCATGTGGCTT